AAGAAAGCCATCCGTCATGTAAGACAAATGATGAAAAGTCCTCTGCTAAGAAAGGCAACTCATCCTTGGAGACGGTAAAAGGTATGAGTACTTCAGTAAACAGTAATCTGGTAAAGAAGAAGAAAATAAAATTAAACCCTAGTTGCTTAACAATCAGAGGTCCTTGTTCGAACCTAATCTCGTTCCCAGATTCTCTCTTGTAAAGGAAAAGTAGACTTGTAGGGCGTTAGTGTATGTGAGCCGAGTGCACTTCTGTACTTCGGGAAAATCTGCATAACTTATTAGTTCTTCGTAATTCCGTAAGAATACTTCCAATTATGGCGTGAACACTATATCTTTTACCGGTGCCGGGGCGAGAGACTTTTTCCAGATGAGTTGCGTCCCCCTATTGTGGAATGAGACTTTCGTTGAGGTTCGTCACTTTTTCGCATATAAAAGATCTTTGGCTAATTTTAAGATGTGGGATTGTTTGATTCTTCGTAGCAGAAACAATTTTTTTATCGTTGTTATTTTGCACTGAACCATGGAATGGTTCGTTTATAGCATTTTTTTAGGGTACTATTACCGCTCCGTGCGTTTTAGGGAAGTAGTTTTAAGTATCATAGTACCATACAGTTGACTGAGATTCTCTACAACACTTATTCCTTTCTTTGTTTATACAGATGAGCAAGGATTCTTTGGCAAAGTATTTTGGGCATTTTTACATCACGCTCCTTCAAAGCTATAGGTTTGTCTGCCTGTGTTTGAACCAACCTTCTTCCCTCTCAGGTACAGCATCTTTTTTTTACTCTGGTATTCATCTGTCTTCCCATATTTGTATTTCACGGTTTCCCTCATTTCTGTATGCTTTAAATGGGTCTCGAAGACTTATTTGACAGGCTCCTCGACGGCAGTTACTAGATACTGTGGTTGATTTTTAACATATGCTGGAATTTACGACGGTTGATTTCGGCTCACTCAAGTGATTGAGGGAAATACCTAAAAATACTTTAATTTGCTGCTTTTGATTCCTTGAGTCGTTTTGTTCGCAGTTAGATAACATAACAAAAGTCTCACTTATTTTAGTTTTGTGTATAGTCTCGAGTAATCTGGTGGGTTTTTGAAACGGTTTATTACTTTCTGCCCCTTTTCACTAAAGTGTCACTCCTCCAGATACAAATGAATCATTTCCTTTAAGATATGCTGCTGATCACAGCTCATGTATCTATTTTCTTCTCTTTTGTGCAGATTTTCAGGACTCATCCTTGCAATTATCAATTGCAACTCAGTTAATCTTGTAAATAGTTGTAAAAATGTTGTGATATGAGGATTTGCAATCAGTATATCTTGTACATATTTATATATCTTGGAAAATTTAATGAGCATACACTTACATGCCATTCATGCAAATAAATTTTTTTCTTGTTTCATGATTTGTTTGATATGTGTTAAGTGGCAACATTCCGATGGTCTGGATATAACAACCATTTTCTTTTCCGGGTTGGAAACAAGATGGACTTCTTCGTGTCATCAAGGCGATGTACTATTCTTTCAAAATGATAAACTTCAGTTTTTAGTCGAAATGTTGTGTTTTGATCAGTAGTGATAAGTGTGGAGCCAAGAAAGCATACATGTACTCCACTGGTCAGAGTTAATTTTGGGGTCGCTTTTACTACCCTTTACTGATACCGAAGGGGTCAAAACGTCCTATCATGGAGAATCGTGTAAGATAAGAACTGGCTGGGACCTTCTATTTATCCTGCTGAACTGGGTTCTCCTCTTGCCCTCCCCCCCTCCAACACATTAATAGGAGTACAAGGTATTCATGGACGTATGGGCGAGTCTTAAGGTCCCAGGGAAAGATTCACATACAACACCCACACATCGAAAAGCCACGAAGGATTTCTCGATCCCTTTATAATATTAGCCACGAAAAGATCAAGATAGAAAGGAGGAAGAAAAGAGTCAAGGTACGAAAGCATCGCTACAGACCAAAATTATGAGAAATATCGGGGGTGAAGAATCACAATTGTCCAAAAATGATCGTAAAAAATGATTTTTATATAGAAAGTCACGGTCGCTGATTTTGCCCTTTACAATAAAAATAGGTGGGGCATTTGATTACAATGTTTCCCCCGGGGGGCAGGAATTTGAAGGAACCAATCCTCAAAAGTTCAAATGCTCGGGGGGTTGTCCGGGGTTGGATGTTGAAGCTTTGAATTGATCGTCGCATAGTGTCGAAGACGGAGGGAGACGGTTCTTGGTGGTAGTTGTCCGCTTATGTTTGCTAGATGGCGGTTTAATGGATAAATTTGAAGATTGCGACGCGGTTAACTTTGTTAAAATTACCGCCATTTTTACTGAGGTCAATTATTGCTATGGTTTTATTGGTGCAGATGTTAATCTGTGGTGACCCCCGTAGTCCAGGCGATGTTTGTCCTTTACGTTGCCCATCATGCTCTGTATTCTTTTTGCTCATGACGCTTTGCATCATGGGTAATCTTGCAGTTTCGAAGATGGCGGCGGTTTTCAAACCAATAATTCGATGGGCTCAAAGCAAGGAGCGAATATTTTTAACACTGGAGTTGTCAGATGTTCAGGTTTGGTAATTGCTACAAAAAATTATTGTAGTTTATATCTAACCGTTCGTGGTATTCCATTTACAATTTGTGCAATTCCTCTTGCAGTATCCAGCTGTAGAACTGACTGGTAACCGGTTGGTCTTTCAAGGTAAGCAGGCCATTTTACATCATGTATTCCAAGGAGCGATGATATCAGTCCTTGTTCTTACTAAAACCCAAGTAGCTAACAATGAAGAGAAGTATAAGAATTTGAAAATATCTCTACATTCATGACTTCGAAGCTGTACGTACACTGTACCTGTTGTAATTTAAGCTGTATCCATGCTGTTTTCTTTCGTTTCCCAGCCTGCTTAAAGTAATGTTGTTTTTATTTTCACAACACTATTAATCCTTAGCAAGGGTTTGATCACATTTTTTAAGTGCCAAGGCATCCCTATGAGATACATTTTAAAAAATTAAAACCAGAAGTGAACTCCTTCATGCCCCATGTGAAGTTACATGTGTGTTGTTAATGCAGGTAGTGAAACTTTTTTTATCCTGGTGCTGGTACCTAGGTCCTACCTTCTTATGAGAGCTGAGCCTTTATCTCCTAGATGTGGACGGCATGTTACTTCTCCTTACAGTTTTATTATGTAAACCAGCAAAAAGTTGACAATTCAAAACTAATTCATTAATAAGCATGAGGGTACCATTGACAAAGGAGCAAATTCTCCTTACTCGCTTCTAAGGAGATGTGCAGGAGCAAGAGCAGGTATAAATTAAGAAATTATCATCAGAACCCAGGAGTTGAATGGTGGTTAGCCTTAGATTTTGAGCAAAGTCTGTCCCTTTTTGATTGCTTTAATTTTGGTAATGTGTGCTGTTTCCTTCTCTTAATTTACTGAAGAATAATTTCAGGGTCTGTGAATATTTGTGTTACAGGATTTGGTCATGGAGCCAGAGGGGAACAGCAGTACCATGTGGACATTGATTTCTATAAGCCTGTTGATATTACAGTGAGTCTTTGTTGATATTTGTAGACATTTTTTTTTTACAAACTAAGTTAATTTTGATAATTGTGATTTACCTGTTGTGGAGAGTTTAGTCATGTTTTACTTATGTTGAAAACAATTATGGTTGTCAATTTGATAACTTGATTAATTTAATCATTGACTTATAGGCAAGCAGTCATAAAGTTCTGGATCGTCATGTGGAATTTTCCATTGCTAAGTTGAAAGGGCAGCAGGGTAGGTGCTATCACTAACAGCAGTCATCTTGTTGGAATTTAGTATGGAGTCAATGCATGTATTAAGAACTTTATTGATTTGTAGTGGACTTTATTGATTTTATGCACTGTTTGTGCTGTGCTCAGAGTTCTGGCCCCGTCTTATTGTGGATGAACAAAAGCCAGCCTGGTTGAAAGTCAACTTTGATCGATGGCAAAGTGAAGATACATCTGATAGTGAAAAAGATGAACTGGAAGAACAAGCTAAACTAGAGGTGAATAAAATCAAACACAGGTCACTGTTGCATTGGCTGAAATGATGATTAAGATAACTTTTTTAAAACTTTAGAACCCCAAAGTAAAACAGAGATTGATCAAGACAAATTTCAGGGAAGATTTCTTGTTCTGAGCATGTCACATGAAAACTGTCTCGCTATAACTAGGAGTTTTAACATTTTTGTTTTATTTAATTATCACCTTGTCAGCATAGCAGTTTGGGTTTGTGTATAGGAAAGCACTGGGCAGTATAATTTAGTAATATTCAAAGTGAAATTGTGTACAAATGCTTCAAAAAATATGTATTTAATCAACCAATCAAGAAACCATGAGTTCTGGTAATTAGCCACGAACAATAAATTTTTGCACATTTTTTGAAACTTGACAAGAATTTTTGAGTATTTTTACTTAAACAGTGTACAGTATGACTGTGACAGTTTTTTTATGTCCTCTCAAAATGAAAATTTAATCTTATGGAGTTCATCATTAAGAAACAAACTTAAAAAAATAGTTTGGGAGTGATGTGTAACTAATAAATTTATGTTTGTTTTCAGAACTTGATGGCTAATACCAAAGCCATGGAATTAGATCTGGACAATGAAATAGAGAAAACCAAACAAGAAGGTATGCATTCTTCTAATGTCTCCCAAATTGCAAAGCATTATGATCACAACTTTTGAAGACAGTGCATCAAGGTCCTTCCCCTTTTTCATCTAATACTTCTTTAAACATCCCAAGAAATTATCAAGAATTTTGTTAATTGCAAGATGGGGTATCCAGCTGTAACTTAAACCCTTAGAAACAGAAAAAGTGCACAATCTAAATGGTTAAAATTATTGGTAAACAATTTTTTAATCAAGCTTTGGGTCAAGGAGCCTGGATATCTTTAACATCCTCATGGCTTGACATGAGAAAAGAACCTGATGGATATCTAACTTTCTTGATCTTGTACTCATTCAATATGGATTTACTATAATAGCATGGTCAAAATGTAATATTCAGTAATCTCACTTTCTGGTGCCTAAATTAGTATATTTGCCTATCTTGCTGTCATTTCAGTCTTTTTCTTGTGGTTAGGACAGTAATGTCTTAGTTTATGATTCTAGTCTTAGAAAGTACCTGTTTATAGTGATTGACCTGATTAAACTAGAAGTGTTTGCTGTGGGTAGCAGTAATTATTAGAACTTAAGTGAAAATACACAGTTGTAATAAGGTGATTTTTAATGTTCCCTACATGTATCTACTTAACTTCTTAACCATCAAGAAATTTTGTTTTAAATCATTAATGTGAAAAACAAAGGGTTTTTTTTTTTATAGTTTTCAGATTTACTCGAACATTCTACTTGGTTGTGTATAATCTCATGCAAGGAGGATTATATCTCTACATCACTTCAGTCCTTCTGTACAAAGCAATTTTTCAAGGGACAGGTATATCTTATTTGAATTCACTTTTTTAGTAGTTAGAACAAATGCGTAATTATATCTGTCATCTGTCACTATTTTGATATTAAGTATCAGTCAGATGAGATATACATGTAGGGGTACCCATGTTTTCTATAAGAATGCATGTTGTTTCTTGTAGGACTGGTACAATTGAAGGGTTTTGGTGCCTTATGCACTTATCAGCGGCCATCCCGGGGGGTTGACCCTGGGGACATATGTGGGAATAGTGCAGGATTTGCTGACTTTTATCGCTAATTTTTGGCCCAGGACAGGGGCATTGGACTGCTTTTGTTGCTCTTTTGAAGCAAGATACACGGGGAAAGACCCATAGGATTTGTAACATTGCCATCATCTTGAAAATGAAAGATCTTGACCGCAGGGACTGGGTATCACCGTTGAATGGCAAAAAGCGACTTAGGATGTTTTTAACTTTGAGCCCTGTATAGCCCTGTATAGTAAACACAGGCTGAAGTAAGTGTATGTTCGTTGAAATTGTCATTCTATGACTTACAAGGTATAAAGCTGAACCTCGCTGTGTGCAGAAAACAGGTGGATTATCTATTTTGCTTACAGTATATATTATTGTTAAACTTTTATTAAAAAATTATGCGGGAAATTGCATTACAATTTGGGAGTCCTTTCAAATTATGCTCCCTGGGGGAGGGACAGTAGTAGCTTTTTGTGGAAGAATATTGGCCCTGGGTAGGTGGAATTTGCAAATGTCTTAGTGCAAATGCCTTGGGGTTACCCTGGGTCAACCCCCTGGGATGGCTGCTGATAAGTGCATTATGCTTCCTCAGTTTTTACCCTTCATCCTCTAACAGTGATGAGCATCTAATTTCTCCTCACATTATCACCAAAATCATCAAACAGTGAGATTTAAAGGGCCATTAATGCTATCTATTGGATAAATTATTATCCAGTGGATAAACGATGACAAGATATACTTTGCTATCAACCAGATAGTGATTTACTTAGTGGATAGTGTCATCCACCCTTTGAACAACTGGGTGTACATGTACACACAAGAAGTTAAAAAAACCTCTAGTTGTGATTACTACAGGGAATGTAGAGAGATCAGTGTGGAGAATATAAAATACTTGTGTTAGGGAGGAAAAGGTTAATTATGGTTAACATTTTGTCCCATTCTGTCTCAAACTACTAATTAAAACACTTCCAATCTAACTTTGCAAATAGATTTTGGTTTGCTACTATTACTACAATATTCAGTCAAACTCTGGCAACCAAGATTGGTTTATATATTGCATTTGACATTTTAGATGCCTTCTCTGAAGCTTATGACTTAGTCAGTGATGTACTAGCCTCATGTCAGTTGGCAGCCTTCTTGGAGGTTATTCATCCTATGGTTGGTATTGTCAAGACTGGTGTACTGGCTCCATTCATGCAGGTATATTTTAAAGTTTATAATTAAAAGTACATATTTTTGTAAGCTTTTGAAAATACCAGTAAATCATAATTATTTGACTTGTATATTTAATAGATTGTAGCTAACAAGTTGATCCTGTCAAGGATAACCAGGTGAACAAGTTTGACAGGTTACATATGATGTTCACTGATTATCTGTCACTCATTGGTAGGACCATTTGTTGGCAGTGATGGAGTACACTGTAACTTCTTACACATGCAGGCATTCTAATTGTTCAAGACAATCATGCAATCCTCTCTTAAGAGTGTCAATTACTGGAGCTTCGCAATTCTGATGTGATACTGTCTAAATATAATTTCTATGTATACTAAATAACCTTTTTTCTTAAACCTCAATTACTATGTACTTGTACTTCTGTGATCACCAAATAGCTATCACACAGCGCTTCTAACTTTTGTCTACAATTTAATGCACTATAGAGCAGACTGAGTGTGAATATAATTCACTGCTGACTTCTCTTGATGAGAGATTATAATTTAGGTTCTCTTTTATACTATTAGGTTTTTGGTAGAAACTTGGTTCTTTTCTTGGTAGTGGTTGCAAATAAAGAGCTCCATAAACTTACAGCTGTATATGGTCTTTTCATTGTATGGTCTCTTATTGAAGTTGTACGGTAAGCCCTTTTTCAAATCTTTGTGAAAGTATTGATTTAGTGACTACAGATGGTTAAAATTGGTCAGCATATGTAAATAAGGTAATGCTATTGGCATTTCAGCATTTAACTGGCTAGTGCTGTTTTGACATAGTAATGATACTCAAATCAGAGCAGGATCTTGATGTTAATTGACATGAGTGATTTTTGAGCCAAACATAATAGTAGGAATTTCAAGGCCACTGTTCAGGTTATAGCATTAACTAAGACCTGGATAGTTTTTTCTATCTTTTGAAAATTGATTGCAATAAATTTCTTGTGTTGCATGTACAGTGTATGAAAACACCTATGTGTGACATCTTATGTTACGTTTCTACATGTAAATGTTCATGATTGTATGTATTGAATGAAAACTATGATGGTGCATTTTGATGTTTTGATAATTCAGTTGAAGAAATTAAATTTATGTAAACTATATTTTTTTTACACTATTCTGTGGTGCTTTTGTGTTTAAGGTACCCATTTTATGCCTCCGAGATCCTTGGCATAAGGATTGAACCCCTGATGTGGCTTCGATATACATTATGGATTCCTTTGTATCCCCTTGGTGTACTCTTTGAAGGTAACTTAACACCAGATCATTTATTTATTAAGCAATATTTCTGTGGTCTGGTATTGCTCTTCAAGCATTACACTGCCCCCTACCCATTTTTATGTCCCAAACATTTGTCTTCAGCATTGATTATTTTTGTTACAATCTTGCAGTTACTCTCATATGGAAGGCAATTCCTTTACTGGATGAATCTGAGAGATTTTCTGTCAAACTACCAAATGCATTGAACTTCAGTTTTAGCTTTGCATGGTACCTCAGAGTATATCTTGTCTTTCTTGTTATTGGTGAGTATGCCTAGATCAAATTTCAATGACAATGTACAGAAAAACCTTATTTTGATGAGGAATTTGAACTGGTACATCAGGATTGATTCAATTGTAATTACTTTCAGAGACTAATTGTGTTTTTTCTCCAGGTGGCTGTTACATGATGAGACACATGTATGCCCTACGACAACGAAGATATGGCAGGAAGAAAACAAAAACAAAATAGCAACCTTCTCCGTGAATAATACCTGCAACATAAAGGCCTAATCATGCCTGCCAAGACTTTAAAAGTCAGATCTCTCTCAAAAATTGTTGATGATTCTTTTAACTACAAAGAAAACAATTATACAAAGGAAGGCACAGCATGCTGTTCAGTGCTGCAGTTTTGGCTGTGGCAAGCTGACAAGTACTTACATGTTTCATGTAATATATCAAAGGAAAGTCATGTTACACTGAAGATTGATAAAAGGTTACATTTAGAGACTGTGTTCCACATGGCTACTGTAAATACAATGTTTAGCATCCGTGGTCAGGAAGAACTATCAATGAAAAGTTATTCCTATAAGTTTTCTTGATTTTATTGAAGTAGACAACCTTAGTAAGTAGCATTTCTGCCATTTTTATTTGGGGTAGAAGTGTGTTTCAAACAGCAGTTGGTGATCAAGAATATAATTTTGACTGAGAGTACCATAAAAGAAGTATATCAAATCAGTGGATTTCCTACAAGGTTAACATACCCCAGGTACAATTCTGACGGTTGGCAAGGAAGTATTGCCTAGATATATTGAGTAACAGTTAAGTAAAAGACTATTATGCCAAGATGGAAGGACACAAATACAGTTGTTACAAGAATCTGCCACAATTCTAACTTACAAAGTCTCAACAAGGTTAACTTTATGGCATTTACTTTGGATTTAAACAATTTTTTTTACCAATGTTTTGACTTCAGTTATTGATGTAACTGTGTTAATGCAATATCCCCTCCTAAAAATTCATTTATACAGTATTTATACTGTATCTACCAACAACAACATCTAGATTCTTGATGCTAATGCAGGTAACAAATATATTTAAGCATGCAACTTATAAAGGTTACAGTGTTTATCTACAAGAATCTGCCACAAATATAACTCACAAAATATCAAGGTTAGGATTAATGCATTTACTTTAGATTTTTAAAAACAAATTTTTTAATATTTTGACTTCAGGTATTGATATAACTGTGTTTAACTGTTTCTCATTTCAAGATTTTTTCTGACATGCTTTTAAGAGATATTTTAAAACAGATTTTAAAAGTTCACAGGTTAATTGACAAGCCACTTTGACATTTTAGACTACTGGCTTTCTCAGTTAGCAATTTTAAGTATAGCAACCAAATTTTAATCTTGATGAAAGTCATCTAAACACCATCCCAACCATTATGTTTATATGGTAATAAAATGTAAGTATAAAAAACTGTGTCACACTGTTCCTTAGGTACAGTTATGACAGTTGTTAGAGAAGTATTGCCTAGAAATATTGATTAACAATTAAGCAATAGACTATTGTGCTAAGATGTAAAGACACAAATGCGGTTTTTACACTTAATGTGACAACTGCATTTATGTACTTGCATCCAATCACACCAATCCACCAATAAGAGTGCCAGTATTATCTTAAATATTTTGCAGTTTTATATGAAAGGTTTTTTTTAACTCCCATGAGTGACCAAGTCAGATTTTCTCCCTCCAATATCAATAAAATATCAACCAGATAAGTGATGAAAATAAAGAAAAATATCAATTTGGGGATAATTAGTTAAACCAATACTAAATTATCTCAACTAACATTATGAGAATTGTATGGTTGATAGTAAGGAGAGGTACAAAATTGAGCTGGGAGTTAAAGGGTTAACAACACATGTAAATGAGATCATGGCTGAAAATTGATATCAACTGTTTGTCTCAAGAGAGGTAACAACCTCATAAAGTTTGCTGCCTCACCTCTAAATATATTATTTGTAAGCAATGATCTGAAGATCCTTTGAAACTTCATTCAAATAATTAAGAGGCAATTAAACAGGTCAGTATTTGTGAGCGAAGAACAGTCAAAGCT